AAAAAAAAAAAAAAAAAAAAAAAACTGAGAAAGCTCTAAAAAATGCTACACCTCTTCCAGAATTTAAGTAGCTGTAAAAACAACAAGAGAGGCAGCAACAGGGCTCTAGCTAATCGAACGATTCGGAACGAATAAAAGAATGTTTTGTATCCTCCCTGGGTCTTCGATGCATCGTCAAAAGCTGTAAGAATTCTTTTCTAGGATGAAAAATAATCACAGCTTACTTATTTAAAACCAAGAAAGATGTCGTCGGCAAACGTGTACCTTGTTTAATAAGTTTCGGAAATAAGCGAGCAAACGGTGGCTTCACCAAAGGGTCGATCGATTGTAAGCATAAACGACATTCCGAGCCCTTCTGCTTCCTAAAAAGATGAACATATTACAAAAAAATGTAGACATATTTATAGATTACCTATAGACCTTTCTACACACTTTAATAAAGCCCTCCTCGTAAGAACCCTTCCTAAAGTTGACTTCTCAGACTGTTGGGGCTTTACAATTAGAGCTTCGATCTGAGTAGTTCCACAGTCGAGTTGATCCGCTTGAACACTCAAACAGTTCCCGCAAGGAGATAACCCTAAAAAATGAATTTGAAAATTTTTGCAACAGAACAGAACATTTCTAACTCCTTTAGGGCCAACAAAACTAGCTGAAGTTGCCACAAGCCAACTGCAGGGGGAGACCCTATCTTAAATGTTAAAAGACTAGACATGAAAATGAAGTAATACTGTCAACTGTGCAGTAGCTAGCAATAACATCCTTCAGCCTCGACTTCACCTTTTTTATTTTAACTTAAGAAGAACCAAATTACTGTTCTTTGCCGCTAGTAAGCCAAAAAGCAGTGAAACTTTGATTCATCAATGCATCAGGCAACCAAGTGGCGATAAAACACGCTATACGGTGATTACACTTAAAAAAACCGTCGATAAGAAAAACGTTATAAAAGAAACTAAATAATTCAAAAGAAACTCCTAAGTTCAACTTCATTAGTCATATTCTGTACCATTAATAAACAGATATCGCAGCGCATCCTCAAATCCTTGCTGGCAAATTTTTGAACAGGCGTCCGCGGGAGGCGGAAACAGGCAAACAAGAAGCCTCATCAAATTGCTCATAGTAAAACGTATTGAAGTGCCAGAAAACACCAGCCCTAACAGGCTAAAAAAATAAGGCCAGGTAAGTTCACTTCAAAAATAACTTTTTTAAACAGAAAGCTGGGCTTCCGAAGAAACTCACTTGGCGCTATCCGTATCAGATGGACAAATATCGTTCTCGCCAGCAAACGGTGAAATAGTTATAGTGTTTGAGTCAAGAACCGGCTGATTCACTGATATTCCACCATCAACATACTTCTCGCCCTGATATTTTGGATAATCGAAACCGCCATATACGGGGATGAAGCAACTACATACAATAGCCTTAAACTCCATTAGATTACTTTTAACTTTTCAAATTTAAAAACCTACGCCATTAGAATGTCAAAGAAATAACTACAATAGATGTGTGAAATGGAACAACAAAGACAATAAGATGTTGAAGGACGTTGTAGAACCAACAGCTTACGTCAATGAGATCTTCTCTAGACTGAAAATCTGTCACTAGCCGGTTAGAAAAATCGCTAAACCGGGTTATAGAAATGTGAAGTCGTCCGGAGCACAATTTATGAGCGTCTTTTGGCAAAGCCGCGTCCAAATTTTGTCTGACAATCTTCATTAAATCAAAGTCGCGATTCAGAGCCCCGAAAGTGAAGGAACGGGCCTAAAATCAGTAACCGAATACCAAAGTATTAACTAAGTAAGCATTACAGCACCCGACCGATTGTGATCGATTAACGCTTGTAGCAAGCTTGCTCTCATAACTTCTATCCAGGAAATTGTCAAACTAACGCTTGTAATAAACGTGTAGATAAAATTTAAATTATGTACAAAATAACCTTTGCCACGACATCTAGGACAACACTAATTGCTTTCGAAAGGCAAACATCTGAGGTGATACATGCACCAAGTATGGCACCAGCAGATGCTCCCAGAATTGGTACTTTTAATAAGTGCGGCGCGAACTCTCGAATCGCAGCACAAACTCCAGCATGATAAACGCACAAAAATCCACAGCCGCTAAACGAAAGCGACAGTTTAGTGTGGTCTTTTAGTTCCTCTAAAAACATCCAAACGTTGCGTAATGCCCAAGCAATAATCTCCTCACTGAAAGTAAATTGTTAGATCAAAAAGAGTAATTAGAACAAGTTTATTTTAGCCGTAAGTATCATAGAAGTTGTGCAATACGTAAGAGTACTGTTAAAAGTTAAAGCCACAACTCCAGCATTCAAATACTATTCTAAATTCTAAGGCAACTTTACGCTTAGTAATGCGTACAAAGCATTACCATGATCAAGAATTCAAAAAATTCTTCTCCTCTCATTTTTCAGAAAAAACGTAGTGCCAAAGAATTATAAAAAATTCAATAAGAAAACTCAAAAATTTAAAACTCAATGTAGCCGGCCAAGCGCACCCACCAACTGGAAAACTACCAAACTTAATAACGTTCAGTAAATTTATAGCTAGCTTATCAAAAATTTTTTACAAATTTCTTTGATAACACAGAAAACGGTAAAGTTTGAAAGATTTAGGACCGTGGAAAAATAAATTCCCATATAAAATACAGTTAAACGGTTAATAATTGCAAATTCATGTCAATTTATTGCCACAAAAAAACTTGCAGCTACGAAATGGCTTTAATCAAAAAAAAAAAAAAAAAAAGAATGCACTTAGAGGAGCAGGCGCCATCAGAGAATCGCTAATCCTTTGCTAAGTCAGTGAAGAAGAGAAAAAAAGAACGACTAAAGGGCGAAATAAAGAAAACACGAAAGTCTGGGAAATGTTTGCGGAAAAAAAACCACATGACCGTCGAACATTGTTATCTTTTCGATAGTACTACAATATCAATACTATTTTAATGCTCACAAATCAAATGTGGAAACAGATTCCATCGACAAGAACTGATCTTTAAAATACTGCAAATATTACTCTGCTGAATTGGAAAACAAAAAAACAGGGAAAAGGAAGAAAGGAAACAAAAACAATGTTTCAGAGTTCAAAATAACCAGCATAAAAATAAGTTTACTAAGTAGCATTTAAATTACGTCATCCAATAATGTAAATAACTAATCGAACGGAATTTTTGAGAATGCTGAAAAGAACTGGTACCTTTTGATTGTAATTAAATTTTTGATAAATTTGTTGCAAGAAATTTCTTTGTTTACTTTTTTTACGACTGCGTTGTAAACAGTAAGGGCAACATTAACTTTTACAATTACCTTTTTCAAAAAAAGCAAGCTGAACTTTTTGACTGTCGACGGGCTTATAAGTGGGGAAGAAAGGAAAGTAAAGCAAAAAGGTGTTGGCACAGCTGTTAAAAAAGGGTATTAAAAAAATATCTGATAAGAAAACTTGACAGGAAAATGCAACTCGTGACCGGTTATTTTAAAATTACAAATGTACTATTGGCTCAGAAACGTCCAAAAAATCTAGTAATTCTCATTGCCGCTGCTGCGCCGACTGGAACGAACTGCTCCATTTAACGACACAATGACAAAACTGGAAGCGATGAACCGTAATAGAGCAACACTTAATAGCCTAAAAAGTATAACGCCTTAAGCTGACCTCTGTCCGGCAGCAAACGGAACAGTTTCTCATCCGTATAATGCTGTACAACCAGTGTTAACAACCATACCTCAAATTACCTGACAAAATTCAATAAAAACATTTTACAACACGATATTTCCTAAAAACAGCTATTTCAAATAACGTCAGCGCAACTGATACTACAAATGTTCACATATACTAAATGCTGCATCTAACTCTTCTTCCGTCATGTTGAAACTGATTAATGAATACAACAAACTGTTACAGCGATTGAAATTAGAACAGTTTGTCTTAATTTTTGAACATTTTACAAATACTACTAATAAGTCCCTACTTCTTCAAAAAGTCAAATACAGAGAGAAGGTATATAGAAGAAAAAGACGAAAAAATAATTCTTATTACAACCACTGATGGAATTTTAAGGGAAAATAAAATTTACCCCATTTATTTAAACTACTTTTAAAGCATATATTAATATATTATATATAACATACTACATATTACACTGTTTATGTTATATATCATATATATGCAGTTGTACTTATTATTACTATTCCTGCTACAGTCATTACTATATTCTTATTGTCCCATATATATATA